TGGAAAGCTTCATGCCACTGAGCTGCTCACTGAGGACGGTCACAGTGGGGACGTCACGTTCTCTCTGCTTTGTCCCAATAGGACACACACACGTGTGCGTGTGGATCTCCCAGGCTCAGAAGGTGAAGCACTCAGCGAGGCAGGCGTTTCGAACCCACCCTGAGGCACCTGGGAAGACAGGCCTGGTCTCTGCTCCCAAAAGGCCCCGGCTGGAAAGCCTGACAGTGTTCTCCACACACACGAGGTGCCGTGATCGGAATCCACTGCACAGCAGTCACCAAAAACCCTCCATGTACACATCCCTACCCCCAAAGCGGCCAGGCCCTGTGCAAGGGTGAGGCCAATCCCCTTGCCCCCCCTCGCCACTGCCTGTCCCCAGGGCCAAGTGCAGGCTAGGCCAGCAGGGCCCAAGGAGAAGCCAGGAGAAGCCAGAGAACCTACCTGGAGGCCAGCATCCTTGAGCCCGCGCCTCCTCCGAGTTTGGCCAGAGCACCTGTCAGTCACCCCCTCCCACCAGGTGTGTCCTGCCTGGGCAGGCCAGAAGCAGCCCCAGACTGGCAGAACCGGCCCGGCTGCCGTGCCAGGCCTGACCCCTGGGCACCTCCACCCCACCGCACTGCTGCCCACTGCCCCCAGCACTCTCAAGCCGAGCCCCTGTGCTGACACTGCAGGAAGGGACCGCCAGGGACCATCGAGTCCAGGCCCCACACTTACAGAGAGGAAAACTGGGGCCCAAGGACGAGACTTGTGGCCCAGGGCCCAGGGAAAGGCCCCACCCGGCTCTCTGGGAAGCCTCAGGGCCATCAGACGCATGAAAGCCACAGTGACCAGGCCCGAAGCCAGCTGCTCGGTAAGGCCGTGATGCACCCTGAGGCTCAGCAAGCCTCTCTGAGGGCTCTGGAAAGTTCTGGATATGCCTACACATGGAGGCCGAGAACAGACGCAAGCTGGCCTCACAACCCCACCCCTCCCACAGGCCTCGGGCCAGCCTTTTCCCTCCCAGCCTGTTTTCCCACCTGTAAAATGGGGAAGACAAGTAGCGACGGCCACCCCCGCAGGGGCCAGGCAAGCTGATGCCCGGCTTTCACGGCTGTAAAGGCAGCACCCCTGCACGTGGGGTCGCTGTAGCAGCTGAGACCCAAAGCCGCTCTGCACGGCTCTGTTCCTTCGCAATTAGAAGGGACAGGAGGCGGGAAACCTGCCCCCCATCAGCAGGGGCCCAGCCTTCAGCCTGCTCATCACAGGTGTGCAGAGGAAATGCGCAACAGCGCCTACCGGCACTCTGCGCGGTGCGAGCTGCGGCGAGGGGCGAGGGGCGTGGGGAGGGCCCGGGGGAGACCCCACCACACCCAGCAACTGCTTGGGGTCCCAGCCCCCAGCGCCACGCCCCTGCGCCCAGGCCCAGCTTGGGCTTCTCTGTTCATTGTCTGCCCCGCTCCACCCTCTTCCTGCTAAGGTCACCCTCTTCTTTCTTTTTCAGAAAATATTATTTTTTCAATGGAAAAAATGTTGGCTTCCGTTTGGAGGCCACGCCTGCCCCTAGGCAGGCGGTCCTTCAGCGACAGAGGCCACGCCCCTCCGCGCGGGCTCCGCCCCCCACATCCCCACACAGGTGAAACTTTCTCTCTGACCAAGTGTTTCTCTAACCCGGCTGGTCCTGTGAGCAGGGAGTGGCAAGCCCAGAGGAAGCCCTGTGACGGGCCCCCTCACTCCCAGCCTGGGGCAGTAACTCCGCCCCCCCCCAGCAGGTGACACAATGGAAACGGCCCCTCCCCCTGGGCCGAGTCACTTCCCGCCTGGACCTCGTGCTGCTTCATTGGGAGGAAATCACAGCCCAGGACAGCAGGGCAGGTGGGATGGGGCAGTGGTTAGGGCCAGCTGGCAGCTGTGTGATCGAGTGCCACACGACAGTGTCACCGCACCCCCTCCTCTCACTTCCCGCGTCACTAAAACCACATCACGCCTCATCAGGGCCAGGGCCAGCCCCCCCCAAAACCCCTGCACCTCACACATCCCTCGTGCCCGCCCCAAAAGTCAGACCTGTGAGGGCAGGGCCCAAGATGTCTGACATGTCCCCACAGTGTCCCAGCACCCAGAGCAGAACAGAACACAGGACAACATGTACTCCAGGAAACCCGCTGTGCGAGGGGCTGCTGGTGCCAACACCCCCACGCCACCACACACCCCCCTAAGCAGCCAGCCCGGGCAGCACCCCTGGGAATTCTGAATTAAGTCACCAACACTCCAGCGGTCGAGAACAAGGACCTCAAAACCAGCGCATCAGGTCACAAGGAGCAGGCGGGAGGGGAGGGCCACCCAGCCCGCTGCACAGAGACCCACTGCAGCCCTGCATCAACCAAAGGATCAGCCCACTTCACAGACGGGCAGACTGAGTCCAGGTGGTGCAGTGACTCACGGTCAGTGCCAGCCTCAAGTGCAGGAATCCCCAAAGCAAAAGACCTCCCTACCCTGCCCCCAGCCAGGTCCTCTGGACAGGGTACCCTACTTCTGCTATCAACTAAAGACGGCTCTGGAATTCTGACTTCCCCACAGGCAGGGAGGGTGCCTCCATCAACCAGCGCCCTGATGAACCTTCAAGATGGAGGACACGCGCCCACCCAGATGGACACCAGTTGCTCCAGCCCTGCCCACCCCTCCTCTGCTGCAGGAAGCAGGGGTGTGTGGGGGTGTTGGTGGGGGTGAGCATGCTCCATCCTCTTAGCACTGACAGGGCCAGGAGGGGGCAGGGAGGGGTGGGAGGAGCGGTGTCCCCTCTGTTGGCTCTCAGAGCCAGAGCCCCCCATGGCGCCCCCCATCTGCACACAACAGCTTCTAGACATTGATCCATGTGAGGACCTGCAGTAGGGACTCGCATGTGCACAGCCACCCAGCCCCCACGGAACCTCTCTCCAGCCCCAGCCACCATATGACCTGTGCTGCAGGGGAAGCTTCTGTCTCTTGGGTGGAGACAGGTGACTCACAGCCACTCACAGCGGAGAGCTGTTCCTCTCAGCCTCTGCAGGAGAGCTAACCGGCACAGAAAGTCAGAGAACTTTCTGGGGCTCCGCAGTCCAGGCCCCGGACACCTCGGACGACAGAACAAGGCTTCTCTCAGCTGGGAGAGCCGGCCTCCCGCCCCTGCCCTGGCCAGCACTCCAGGGGCAGTTCCACGGAGGTCCGAGGTCGCCTTCTGGCGGCTGCAGGTCTCTCAGGGCAGGAACTGAGAGGTGGGGCTCCCGGGAGAAGAGCATTCGGGGCTCACACACCCAGGCCCAGAAGGGGAACCCCACCAAGGCCCTGAGCCAGAGAGGCCGCTGCGCCCGCAAACTATACTACAAGCCACAGCTGTGCCCCTCCAAAGCTGGGGCTGACCCTGCACCCCAAACACAGAGCTGCCCAGACGCGGGAGCCCCTGTGACGGCCATTCTGTCCCGCCTGGCTTTGTGGGGTGTGCACAATGGGGTGTCTGTGGGCTGCGCTTGGCCAAGGGCCCAGCCAAACTGGGGGAGGCTTCCCGCCAAGAAAGACGGGTCACCAGTCCAGTGCAGGAGAGAGGTCCACCCAGAGACCTAGCAAGAGTTGGTTCCAGCAAAGGGGGTCCCCACGACCCCAGGTCTCGGGGCTGAAGACAGGGCATGCCGCATCACAACCATTTTCTCTTGAAGTGTCTTTGCCAAGGAGTGGGGACTGAGGTGGCTGCCGCCGCACCCCCCTCCCCAAGTGCCAGCTTCAGCCCAGGGAGACCTCACACCAGGCCATCCGCATCTTGGGCCAGGCTGAGACCACAAGAAGACAGCACCCCAACTTTCCACCAGTTCAGCAGCCCCCTTCCCTCTCAGAGTCTCTGCAGAAGCCGAGTAAGATTCTTGCTGCCTCCTGAATGGGGGGGGGGCTTGAGAGGCGACGCTGAGTGAGGAGGGGCAGGGGGGAGGGAGCTGAGCATTCTGGGAAGCCGGGCATAATTAATCAGACCGCATTAATCCTCCTCCCCAACAATAGGGCGGCACTGCCCCGCGATCCCAGCTGTCGGCCTCTGAATGAGAGGAAACAAGATTTAGGGCATCAAGCGTCCGTGTGGCTGCTGCAGGGGAGAAGGCCCCCAAAAAGCAAAAAAAAAAAAAAGCGGCATGCATTCATTATTTTCTGACAAAGGGACAGTCCACGCCGTCCATTAACATGCTCACAGTCCTGCATAATTGGCTTCAGTTGGTGGGAGGGGGCCTGGGGGCTGCTGGTGGGCAGGCAGGCCCGCCGTGCAGCAGGGGCTGGTTGTCAGGGGAATGGGCCCTTCAACGGCTGGAATGAGGGCACGCCCAGCAGAGTGGGAGCGGACCCCTCCCCAGCGCCTCCTCAGTATTCCCATCAGGAGCGAACTCAAGTTGAAGGATATGAGCAGTAAAAACGTCCCCGACACGGACTGGCGCTCCAAACAGATCTCTCAGCCACCTCCCCCCAGCCAGCCGAGCCCAGGCGGATCAGAACCGAAAACCAACAGAAAGCAGGCTTCAGGACATCACTCCCACCCGGGGGAGATGGGCAGGGCCCATTCAGCGGGATCACAATTCTCTCCCCAAACTCACCCTGAGGCCAGACGTATGGGTTTTGTTTTGCAATATGTAGCCCATTTCTTTCTGAGGCTCCCCTGCCTACAGGTGTTCAACCTGCCTGGAGGAGACGCTCCTAGGTGGCAGTGGGCTTCCTGAGCCCTCGACAAGTCAGACCTCTCCCAGGGGCTTCAGGGAGGAAGGGGCTACTAGGAATCCCACCTGGAGCCTAGCAGGCCAAGGTGGCCCTCGGAGGCCGGACCAGCTCACACGCAGCCTAATTGGGGGTGGTTAAGTAATTGCCAGACTTTGTCCAATAAAAGCCGGCACGTGACGCACCCAGCCTTCTGGGCCATCTCCACCAGACAATGGTCTAGTGTTCTGTCCCCGGCTGCTGCAGAAGGCAGGGGCTCCCGCGCCGACAAAGCAACAGGTCCCGGCGGGGTGCATACTCACACACAGGCCTCGGTGCCATTGGCAAGCACTTCACACTTCCCGCCATTCAAACAGGTCTCGCCGGGCTGGGAACACCGCAGGCCTGGAGGAGGGCAAGAGACAGGGGTCAGGAGAGCACCCGCTCCGGAGACACCCGCCTCTGGGGACAGAGAGCCCGGCCTTGTCGCCAGCAGCTGCGGACTAAGGGGCACCACCAAATTGTCCCTCAGGGGGCTCTCTGCTCAGACTCCTGGGGCAGCAGGGCGCGTTGGGGAGTCCCTGGATGGACCCCAAAAGGCTCTTTAGTTTCAAAGTCAGCAAGGGGGGAGGGGCAGGCCAGCAGGTGGACAGAGTGCCCAGAGAGTGGAGTGGCCGATATGCCCCTTGGCAGCAGTAGAGAAAAGTGGAGGAGACTCACGGCCACTCTCCCAACTGTGCACCCCTACCTCCCCGGTTTTCTCAGAGAACCCCCTGGGGCTGGGGCCCCCACCCAGCCACCCAGACTGTTGTCCTAACGTTCCAACATGCTGGCGGGAGGGAGAAGGCGGGGGGAGGGGTGGAGGGCGGCCCCACTCGGCTCCCCGCTCGTGGGAAAATGCGACAGCTGCGCGGCCCGCCGCCCCGCCCGCCAACAAAGCGCCGGCCGCGGAATCAGAGCGGCCCATTGTCGCGCCGGGCCGCCTCCTGGTGTCCCGGCCGCCCCGCCTCTGCGGACACCCAATACCTGCTCCCGCGCGGACATCTCCAGGGGAGGGCGGAGAGCCGCACTGGGCAGGAATGCGACCCCACTCCCGAGAGAGGGTCCCACAAGCCTCCCTTGCTGTCTCACCCCCCGACAAGTGAAGCCGTCGTTGGGGGCGGGGACGGCGCTGTGACAGGCACTGTACTTTGAGAAGGGGGTAAAAATTCTCACCTCCAACTTTTTGGGGAGAGGACTGACTTACTGGGTTGCACCGAGAGCCTGGGATGGGAAGCGGGCCAGGAACCGCGCCCCGTGCCCACGTCTCTCCACCCCCCACCCCCCAAGATCGCCAAGATTGAACTCGGCGCCGCAAAGCGAAAGTCAGTTCCACGGAGCCGAGTGGTCCGCGCCCTTCAGGAAGGGCTGCGCGCCGGGCTGCGGGGCGGCAATCCCGCCGGGGGGCAGTTCGAGGGGGTCCGGGACCCGAGCTGTCCGCTGTCCCCCGCGCCAGACCGCCCGAGCCTCCCTGAAGGGGAAGGAGGCCGGCCGGCCCGGGCCCCCTGCTCCCGGTCCCCGGGCCGCGAAGGTGAGCGGAGGAGAACGCGGCGCAGGGACCCCAAGCTACGCGCCTCGACATCCGCCCCCGGCGCGGGCCCGATGCGCAGAAAGAAGGCAAACGGCTCCAAGAAGCAACAGGAAATCAAAACCGACTCGATTCAAATCGAAAAAGTGCCAGACGCCCGCGCGCCTCGCGGCGAGCCCACGCGCGGCTAGGGGAGACGGGCTCAGCGGCGGGGCCCCGGGGCCCCCGATCGGCGCCGGCACAAGGCTCCAGGCGCGGGCAGTCCGCCCCGCGTGGACTGCTGTGGAGCCCCAGTCCCGACCCAGGACTCCCGGGGCCCCCGCCCGATCCCCGAGGGGCGCGCGCGCGCCGCGCCGCCAAAGTTGGAGAGGGGCGCGCGAAGTTGCGGGCTCGCGGGGCGGCGCCTACCTCGTGCGGCGGGGAAGGCGGGCAGCAGCGCCAGGCAGAGCAGCGGCGCCAGGAGCGGCGGCATG